TAGCACAGCTATGGGGTACTATAACAAGGGCTGCTGACACATTAGAAGATGTGTTCTTTCTCTGAGCACCAATAGCACTTCAGCTCTTTAGAGACGTGATGTTTTATCTCATTTCTGAGGTTCCAAAACAACTTTTTGGGATGTGGGAAAGGGCAGGGGCAACCAGTGAAGAGGATGTCCTATACATCTGTGACTGCAAAAGTAGGGGATATAATAATGGTCTCAAATAAGTAGTAAGTAACATTTCTGGTGAGCTGTCCAAAGAAGATACAAGTCAGCTACTCTGGCTTAACGGTACATTGAAATGTCAAAAGCAAGTTAGACAGCTATGAAGCAAAATTGATTCCATCTATTTTCACTACCAGTTGATGTTTATTTTGGTTTTATGCCCATTAGTGCAGCAATGACATTTCCTTACATTGCCTTTTTATTAGAGTTCCCTGTGGTTGTATCAGGATCTCAGGCAGAAATGGCTCATGCCATGAGCTAGGCAAAGCCAGTAAAGTGGTGATGGTCACTGTGCTACTGAGTTGAGTACATCCAGTGGTTATACACCTTCTGAGTAAGGATTACAGCTGTTGACTTAGTTCTCAAGAAGAATATTTAAGCAAACTTGGTGCTCAGAAGCCTTTATTTTGGTCTTGGTTTTGCAGGAGTCCTTTTTTCCCATACCCAAAGTGTATGTCATTGTGTGCATGCAGCCCTATCTCAGGGAAGAAGAACCTGAATATCTGAGAATCTGAAGATTTGAGAAAAACACATTAGATGACTTGTAAGTTTCTGTTGAGAGGTTCATTGCACTAGAAGTCAAAAGTACCTGCAGCCCTGTCAAAACTTCTCTTTAGGGAATTACTCATGTGCATAATACTGAAACACAGGATGTATTTTAAAATGTATACAGAACTAGGCTTTTCAGAAGACATTATATTCAGTAGAGCTTTCCATTATGAATTTGACATAAGATATATAGTATTACAAATAAGAGGCTTTCCATGTTCTTCTGTTGACAGCTTTTTCTTTAAATAGGTGCCCTATTCAGTCAACATATTTAATAATTTTTCTATCAAAGAAACACTTACTATATTATTATATACTTATTTTACATTTAAATATATGTTAAAATCTTTGCATATAATAAATAGATTCAAAGAATATACTTAATTAGCATTTGGTCAAAGAAATATGACCTATTTCACCTGGATTTTTAGTCCATTTAAACCAATGATGTTTCTTCATCTTTGCAACTAGCACTTAGTAAGAAATATTTGTTCGTCATGACGCTGATAAAGATTCTAGAGGGCCACTTTGCTTCTCCAAAGTATCTACCATCTCATGAGCTCAACAAACATTTCTTCAACAAAAATAAAAGTGAGCTAATATGGGAAAGGTCAGAATGAAATAAATAGAACAGGTAATTTTTCAAGCACATATTGAATTTTTATTTTTATAACTACATTTCTGTATTCCATCACTATATGATGCTGAAATTAGTGCCTTAGAAATTAGTGCCTTATTGCTCTTCAATGTAACACAGAAGCACTGAGCTGTGGTGGGTTATGGGCTGATGTGTGTGTGATGGGTTGTGCCTCAGCTATAAATTCATACTACACCCTTAAGCATCACAAGGACAAATAGTGTTCTTGTTTTCTAAGAGTGAGCTACGAGACCTGTGGGCAAGCTGTGAACCTTTGTAAAATAGAATCTATGCATGGTATTTATATGGCTGAGATGAACATCAATCACCTGCTTTAAAAGAAGGAAACCAAGCAAGACAGCTTTTAAATGTTACAGCATCCCCCCTCAGATTTCTGAGGATAAAGCTAATGAGGGAATCACCTTTGTAAAGAGGCAAAATGAAAGACATAACACTATGGCATGAGTCTTTAGTATGGCATTTAACAGCTGTGACAGCTGTGACAGCGGAAATCTTCACAGGGTGTCCCAGACGTATGTCCTTTTCCATATAAAATGACATCTTTAAGGAAATCCACAGCAAATCCATGAAAACAGAGGAGAGAATTATTTCCTTTGGGATTTAAACACAACCAAACAAAATGTTAAGAAATGTACCTTGACTTTCAGGTGAAGTTTCTTGCCTTCTAATTCTTATGATCTCCAGTTTGGTTGACACATTTGTTGTCAAGGTCCTAGAGTGACCATTAGCACCAAAAGATGCAGCCTGATTTCTTCAAATGCACCTCTGATATGACATTTCAGTGAGTTGGAATTTCAGAGAAATAGGTGAGATTATTCAGAAAGAAGTTATGGTAAATGGTGTGTTTCTTCCTGAAGTAAACATACTTTGTTTTCCAAATGCTAGTTTCATAAATTAAAGTAGGACTTCAGAATAAGAACAATGTTGAGACGGATGTATTTTACTCTTATGTTACAGCAGGACAGCCTCTTTTGAAGGCTGTATTACAACCTACATCCTTTTAACTGAATTAATAGCTCTACCTGTACTATAGACCTCGTTTTTTATGCTTCAAATTGCCAGAATTTATTTAGATTTTGGCACTTTCTATACAGTACAATAGTATCTTCATGTACATGTTTTAGATGCTCAGGAAGTAGCTTCTATGTCTCTTAGCTCCCCAGAATTATAATAAATTGCTTCATTGCAGTGCATTTCTTACCAAATACTTTTGCTCTGTCAGAGTTCCAAACCAACTCAATATAAGAAAGCACAGCTTTTCCTACAATAGCCAGACCTGCCTCTACAAGATTGCAGCCATATGTCCACTACCAGGGCCTCACTGCAAAATCAGCCTCTCAACCTCTCAGTTTTTATGCCATGTGCAGCAATTGCGTCTCAGGACTCTGACTCACTCTTATGCGGAATCCAGGCAAATCAACAGTCTCATGGTAAGGTAATTGAGCCTGAAGCCATGCTAATAACATCCTATTTTAAAGTATTTTTAGTGTCTCATCAGCTGATTAATAAAGAAAATCATATTGAAAACATTGTAAGAGTCATAAGAGATCTCTACTATATTATATTTCAAGAACTTCATGACAAAACATATTATTTATAGAAAATCTTTCCCCGTAAGAACTGTCATAACTACAGAAAGCTTTTCTCCAGTGTAATTTTATTAGGGATTCCTGCCATCATATCAACATACAAAACAATCAGGATGTTGACATATAGAAATGTGAAATTCACTGTACAAAGATAAGGCTCAAGTTACAGGTATATTTTCCCCTTACACTCCATGAAATAAAACCATTTTTAATACTTCCCAGAGTTGCGTTTATAAATGTTGGACAAACCACAAAATAGATTTCAAGTACATAACATTTTACAATATATTCCAAGCACAGACAAAAATACACAATACTGTACCTATAGACGCTCCATAGTCCAAGTCTGTAATCTTTACTAGTAAAAAGCTGCTACTCTCTCTGAATGTGCCCAACCACATCCTTCTGTGTATGACATGGTCCTGGCCTTTAAGTTATAACACTTATGACTTTCAGTTAAATTACTTTGATAGACCAGGGAATATCAGGAAGAAAAGATGAGAATTTTAAAAGGCCAGGTGTGAATGTATGCATCTGGTTAGTAAATGCAAGCACACATGCACACACACTTGCTTCTAACCCTACATAAAACTTCACTGCACTGCACAATTTTTGAGATTATGTTCTGATGCAAATGAGCTATTTTCTGAAAGATTTAAATTAAGCATTACAATACTTCTACTTCTGGGGTGCACAGGGACGAGACTATGGTAACCAACTTTTTTTGTTAAGTGATTATCAGACTTTCCAGGAGGTTGTATGGAACCATGTCTTCACAGTCCATCATGATGTCTACTACACAGCCTTCACCACTGAAAACACCTTTTCTGACACCTTTGTTTTGCAACAATGCAAATGAATAATTTCCGGTTAAGACCAAATGTCTACATTTGTTCACTCTCCGTTTCTATTAGGCTGAGTGATTATTACCTTGTGGGAAAGGATCATTTAGCTGCAAGTAGCACAGGAAGAAATAGACGTTAAATAATTAATCATTAATGATTCTTCTGGGAAACAGATTATCAAGAACAAACAAAGACAATATAAAACCACGGTTGTTTAATCTAGCCTTTGTTGGAGGGGAGATGAGTAGTAATCTAAAAGTTTACAGTTGAGGAAAGGAATTCCTAAGGCCTGTAACTATTTCTCTCTTTTAAAAACTGGAGAAGATTAGAAGGGAAGGAAAAATCCTCTATGAAAATTGCCATTTTAAAACTAGACACTTGCAAAAGCTTACAAGAGAAAACCAAGCAAAAGAGAATCTGATACTGAATCTGATACTGAAACTAAAGGAATTTATTTAGTAGGAATTAGACATGTGGTTACAATGTGTTAAATGCACATCTAATAAAATAGCCTCAAGTATGTCTCCAATTCATAAATGTCTAAGCAGGAGAAAGAGTCTGAAGCCAAAATTCAAGTTCCTTAATTTAAATATGAAACAAGGCTGCACTAAGATTGTGAGAGAGGAGGAATAAAAACTTTCTTGTCTTAGATACAACCTCTGTGGTATATTTGAAAGCCTTCAAATGTTCTCAGCATTGACAAGATTTTACGTAAGTATATTCTCTAAGCTATATTGGAATACTTTTAGATATACAAATCCATGTTACACAAAACAGCAATAGATCACATAACTGGGCTCATAATAACAAGAAATGAGGGTAAGTATGGTGTTATATGTGAAAGGAAATATGCACAGAAAATATGTTGTCTTAGAGATTAGTCATAAAGGGTATCAAGCATGGAGATTCATCTCTTAGTTTAAGCCTTTAACTGTGAGCCAGTAGATTATTTTGATATCAACTGTACAGCCTAATGCTGTGCTTTTTAAAATAAGCATGAAAAATTTATTCATTTTTCACTTTTTCATCTTCTTTATGATTTTTAAAAGTAGCTCACTCACTCACCTACTGATTTATTTTTGGGTCTTTTTTTTTTTTTTTTTTTTTTTTTTTTTTTTTTTTTTTTTTTTTTTTTTTTTTTTTGCTACTTACTATTATTGTTTTCTGTTATGTACAATAATCTACATTGAGACTGAAGACTCAATCTTTCTCTAAACGTACTTGGACTATCTTGTAAAGACTTTCTACAGAACTGATAAAATGGAAGACAACCTGACAAATAAGAGGAAGGATCATTTCAGTTCTGCTCACTTCCCCAAGCTTTAGAACTGTGCCTTTCAGAAATTCTTTTGCATACTTGCTGTCATTTCACCTTGCCCAGGCAGCCCCTACAGAACTTGAGTGAACATTCTGTGTGTTTCCCAAACACAGTCCCTTTGTATATAGCTACATTAAATTCATTCATTCTCCAGCCATAGTTTAAAAACAAATAATTGGTAAAACACTAAAAACACCCTGCATGCCCCTCTGCATTATTCTTACCAATGTGTACATTTAAACAACATTGTAAGTTTTCTTTTACTAAAAATTTACCAAAATATCTTAAAGACATAAAAATGTAAAAAACCAAACAAACAGAAAAACAAACAAAAAACCAAAAACCCAGCATAAACATTGCTTGTATAGGCATTGGTTAGAAGAAATTGTTGCACTAAGGAGTATATTCAAAAAGGTTTTCTTTCAATATTGTCAGTTTTAGTGTCATGGATTGAAAGGTTAAGGACAATGAAACTTATTGTGACCCTGTCTTATATGATGCAATAAATGAGCTGGAAGACTGAAATGTATTTAAAATAAAGCTTCTTTTTGGTTATTGAGAGGTGACTGTCTAAGTTAGTAATTAAAATGGCATTTTAAGTATGTAAAGGGAACTTAAGGACATGAGTCTGTAACAAAAACTGTAAGTGAGGATATGAAGGCAACCGTCAACAGATGGGTCCAGGGACATTATGGAAAGCTATCACTAACTGAAATTTTGAATATAGCCCTTAGTTGTATTATATTAATGTAAAATTTAAAAGCTGCCCAGAATATCACGGATGAAGTTTATTTTGCAAGCCATCCACTGCCTAAGGGGGCAGTAATATTCAATATGGAACTGCTGAAACTCTGGTGTCTGGCGAATTTCATGAAGGAAAGAGATTTGAAGGTCCGACTCCAGGAGAACAAGGAAAAGGGGGAACACAAACAACAATAGTCCAAGGCCTACAAGAAAAAGTCTGGAGAAACTCTTCACAAAAGCATTAACCTCTATGTTGCCCATTAGAAAGTCATAGCTCCAACTCAAGGCTCTCCGAGCTTCTTTCAGTTCTTCCTCCTCTGCAATTAAAAATGCATTTTCATCTGCTTCAAGTTCCTCAAATGAATCAGTATCATCTTTCTCATTCTCTGCTCTTGGGCAGGTATCAAAAAGCATGTCAATCTCATCATCAACCGGTGTGGGCAGCAAGCTGGCACTTGGATTGTATACCAGCTCTGAGATGGTTAAGGGTTCCTCTTTCATGTTGTCTTCCTGTTCAATGTCAAGATCAACATCCTTCCCAGTATCCTTTACTGGAGAGCTTGAAGTCACAGGTACTGAAATCTCCTCTTCCTTTGGCAGCTCGATACCTGAAGAAATGAAATTAGAACAATGATACTAAATTTCTCACAGCCTGGTGAAAAAGTCGGCCTTCCAGTAGTATATAACAGATGTATGGAAAGAAGATTCTGCAATAATTTGCATATTAAAACCAGACTGTACACAATTATCAAAAACTGAAAAAGCTTTTTGAAGAAGGCAGTATCCTTACAACACTGCAGTACACCAGATCTGCTTAAGAGGGTCGGCTGTAGCTACCAATGATAATAGTGCAAAGCAGAAAAGAGAGCACCTTATTTTCTACTGGCAATCTGATTTCTGTAATAAATTAACACCTACTATATGTGTGAATTGGTGCTCTTTGGTGTATAATAATAATAATAATAATAAGAAGAAGAAGAAGAAGAAGAACAGCAACAAAAACTACCAACTCTCATTGCTTTGACATGAATGAGTGTGGTAAGATAATAGCTAAGGTTGAGAATAGAGCATGACATTAAAAAGAGACACCAGATTATCATGATAAATTCATGGTAACAGTAGAAAGAACAAAAGGAGAGGAAGGTTAACATAATATGAGAATTAGATATCATTGGAACAACATTCTAATAGTGTCACCTGTTAAAAAATCTCCTTCTCATGTCGCCTTTTTTTTTCTGCTCATCTAGTTCTTTAGCTCTTTTCTCTCCCCTCTAAATTTCTCTCTCCCCTTTACAGAGGAGACTTTCTTATGGTATTACTCTCTGCTCTCTCAAAACTTACTCCCCATTTTCCAGTCACTCTCTAATAGCAAGAAGTCTGCAAAGAAGTCTAGCTGTTTACAGCTGCATCAGTACTTCAGTGACTGCTTTTAGTTGTCAGTCGTAGGAGTGGAGAGGACAGCTGGGCACAGACCTGCCTTGCAAAGTGATGTTAAGACACCTCCTCGTGGAAATTTCCCTTTTTAAGTACTCAAAATGGCCCAGACAGATATCTTCCCCTGTAACTTGTTATCTTTTTCTTTTCTAGACCTCACTTGCCATGCCACCAGGTGAGGTTTGTCATTTTGGCCAAATGACAAAAGACACAATTTCTACTTCCTTTCATTTCATCACTGAGTAAAGCATCTGATGGGTTTTTTTTCCTGAGGTGGCTAGTTGTGCATTCTTGTGGAAACAGCACATGACCAGGGACAGAGAAAGAGAGGAGGAGAGTTCCTTTCAGCAGCAAAACTGCATAACTGAAATGAAACCTTGTCCTCAATAATTATTAGTTCAATAATTCAATTAGTTTAATTTTCATAAGTTTAATTTGACTTCCTGCATAATGATTCCTTGTATCAACTACTCTGTCCTCTCTTATCACAGCCAATTTAGAAATTCATCATATTTCAGCATGAAACCTGTTTTGTGCTGGAATGTAATTGTCTACACCAGTCTTTACATAAAGAAATACACTTTCCACAGTCATCAAGAGGAGGATACAAACCAACTGAAATGAGACAAAACAGTGTATGAGCACCAGGAAGTGAGAACAGATCCTAAGTAACAGAAGGTAATGCTGGATCATCAAACCATATTCACGTTACTTGAGAGTACACCCACGATACATTAAATTACAAAAGCCAAAATTTTTTAACTCTGGAACCCAGCATTAAGAATCTAGATGTATCTTTAGATACACAAGTACTACTATTTGATTCTTAAATATGCTTTTCAAATATTCTTAATACAAGTAAAATTTAAGTTGAGCCACTTACTTAGACATTTTGAAATGGTTGAATGCACCCAATTTTACTCTCCTAAATTTAGAATTCTGGCCATAGGCCTCTCTATAACTGCTTAGGTGCAAGGTCAGCCATATATTTTCATCATGCATCTCATCATAGAGGACAGCTACACCTACCACAAAGAAAGGTCACCCCAATTTATGATTCTTGAGCCTCCTCTTCCTCCCCAGAGTAAATTTCAACTTGCATAAAATGTATAGTGAACATAAAGAGACTATATTAATTTTCATTACAACTGTATTTTTCTCAAATTACTGGCAAACTTCTGACTATGGGGTTAACCTGTTGATAGAAAGTGACAGAGAAACCTTTTCATGTCAGTGTTTTTGTTTCCTGAAGGGTTTGTATTGAAATGGTAATGTGTTGCAGCTCTGAAGCACACATCAAATTTACATTCCACTATTTAATTTCAACAGCTAGGAAGAATTTTCCACTGCTTTATTTGTTATTTAAACTGATTAAATCAATGTAATTGCATTTTATATCAGTCAAATACTAGTGTAAATCAATATTTGAAAACTTAGAATGGGCATAAAATGCTGCTGCTGCAAGCTTATTTGATATTTTAAAAAATTAAAGATATAAAGTTGTTCTTTTTACTCCTCCATATTCTCTGTAGCACCACAACATTTTTTAAGTCAAGGAATGAGGAAAGAACAGGCTGTTAACCTGAGTCAACATGACTTATTCCAGCAAAGTTTCAGTCATGTTGCAATATATGGATAAATATGTTGGGCCATTCATATCTTGATGGTTTCAAAAGACATAACTGTAAAATAATAATGGCAAATATAATTTACAAAGAATATCACATTAAAGTGCAAGAATTCCACAGTACAATTAATATTCCAGTAAGACAAATTTAAGAGAGAAGAAAGTTTTTTGGATTTTTTTTTTTATTTTTCAGATAGCCCTCAAGAGAGCCAGTTATCTGAAGTAATAAAATCAAGTTAAAGGAAAAAAATCCTCAAAGTGTTCCAACGGAAAAATAGATTATGAAAGTTAAAGCAAGCCCAACTTCTAATAATCTTTAATTATTTTATGACTCTTCTGCAAATGGTTTGTGCCTATTCAGACATAACAATTATTTTGGTACTATCTTTATAAGACTATCATTTTATATAATTTGTTGGCAAGATTTTGAAAAGTCTACTATCTCTTTATTAATAGTTAAAATTTATGTGGTGTTCAGATTTAGAGGATTTTCAGTTGAGAATTAAGTTACATTTGAGAACCTCTTCTTTCCATTCTTTACTTTGAATTCTCAATGGCAGTTTACATTCTATAAATCAGAAACTTCTAATACAGATTACTGGAATATCAGGTAAATAATCAGGTAAATATCAGGTTTTTTTCTTATATTTCCACAGAAAAAGTTTGCTACACTTTTCTGGCAACAGAACACATTTTACAAAGCCAGAGATCTCATTATCCAAGGTGAAACTCAGTATTCCTCTTCCACCAAATACTGTGATTGCTCCAAGCCAGGAATATGAACAGCTGAATAAGATAGGACATTATTTTGGTCATCTGCTGTGAACACGAACGTGCAAGAGGTCTGAGAGGTCTGACGTAAAAGTTGTCAGCTGCTAGTATTTCTACAGGAGCCAAAACCAGCAGCTGAGGATTAACAAAATGAAGGGCAGCTCTAGCTCCACCATTCTTAAGAAGCTGCAGTTGCTGAAAGTACAGCACCTCAGAAGAATGTATCCTCTGCTTATTAAAAAATTCAGTTCACACATTGGCCGGATATCCTGCACAGGGCTTTTCTTACCAGAAAGACAATTACACATCTATAACAGCCTTTAATATTGGAGAAAGGAACAAGTGTGAATGTACACTAATTTTAAAGAGAGAAATGGAAAATGAGATATGGTCCAGAGAGAGCAGTACTAGGAACATTTCATACACACATGTAAACAAAAACGGCCAGACAGGCTGCAATTAGGAGAAATCCTTCCTGTCCTTTTTACTTCTTCCTCTGGAAATATCATGTATCCTTTGCTTATTTTCCATGTGGACAAAATTAATCTGTACTATGAATACAATGACCTTTCAGAGGGAAGGAGAAGGTGATTTTCTCACATGAGCAAAGTGCATGAATGTCACAAAGAAAGTGTAGAAAAATGAGATATACTGTAGAATTGCATTGAATTACATATCTCCCTACACATCTATATCAAGCAGGATTTGCATCACTCCCAGACCTCCTGCCCTCAGAAACAGAAGGTCACAGATTTGTACTGTACCCACATCACATGACCATATCTGTCATAGCTTTGCAAGTAGAGTTAATCAATGACAGTTTATAGTAACTTCTTTTTAGGCAGTGACCTCACTTTCCTGCTGGCCGTTACTGTTTGCTTTAGTCTAATGAAAAATTCTAGAAGGCAGCAAAGCCCTGTCCCAGCAGCCAGTTCATATGACTTGGATGTTTTATGGCACAGCTTTCCTCCCAGCTGTGTTGTGTCCAAGCTAGTACAGCCACTGAAGGCCAGTGCTCTCCTTTCCACACCCCACAAAGGACACCCCAAGCACAGAAGCAGAGCAGAGCATACTGCATGGAGGGCATTCTGGGATGCCTGTCTTCCATCTCTCTTTGGCCTGGAAGGAGTTCAATCCAGAGTTGTTGATCACCTTCCAGAAACAGGATTAAGCAGCAATAGGACTGAAGGAAGCATCAGGGAGAGAACTGTGTATCTTGGGAGCAGGAATGAGAAGGCAATACATCTATCAGCAGCTCAGAGAAAGAAGGACCTGGTGATGGGACTGCAGTACTCAGTGTCCAGCACCACACCAAGGACAGTGAGGCTGAAAAGTGCCAAGCACTGATGCAAAAGCTTAGCACCCAAGCAAGGGTGCTAAGGGCAAGTGGGACATTTAAGCATTCCCACTCAAGGAGTCTTCTTGCACAAGCTACATCCTGTGCTTTGGTGCTGCTATACATGTGTTATATGCTGATACATATATATATACATATATATACACTTTCTGCATGTTTACTTCAAAAGAAATAACGTAGTATGAACAGTACTACACAAACAAGGTGTTTAAGAACTATCATCTCTTATGATTGCTGTCATTATATTAAACCAACAAGATGTCTTGCATTTATATGAAGCCAGTATTTAACCTCTGAGATGTAAGAATACAAAACATACATCAATAACAATGCTTTTGCCATTTTGTTACTATGTTTAAATCAAGAGAAATAGGTTTATTCTCTAGTAGATTCTACTGTTTTCACTGAGTGGTGAACTC